TTTCAAATGCATATAAAAAAAACATTATTTTTATTAAAAGGAAAGTAATGACTGTTTCTAGAATTGAAATAAACGGAATATATTTATAAATCTTATTTGATGTATTATTTATTTCAAAATTTAGAACAGTAATGAATACCAATTGGTTATTCAAAAAAAATTTTCAATAAAATTGTATACTTATTTAACTAAACAATGAAACAACATAAATAATAATAACTAATGCAATATTAAAAAAAAATATACATATACTGTATATACATACTTTATACCACCTTTTAATAATATCATAAATACAAAAAATGATGCAGTACATAAGTGGCAAAAAAGGAATAAACTATTTCTTTAAACAATAAATTATTCCTTTTTAACAGAAATAAATTATTTTCTACATCACATACAAAATACATGACAGAAGCAGAAAAACGGAAAAGATTGCAAATATAGCAATGATAAATGAATATTAAGAGTAAATGAAAAATTGCATTCATGACTTATAAACCACATATTTTTATAATTTAGCAAGTAAAGAAACGAGCAATATAAATGTATTAATATTTTTTAAAAGTTTTAGTCAATATAATTGTAAAAGTAAAAGTACAGTGATAGTGGAAGTGTAAATAAAATTATTTTTACTAAAAATAAAATAACACATTCAAAAAATATAGTTTTTTACTAATTTTATTTAAAAAATGTTGTGCAAGATTAGTAAGTATAGGATTTGGAGTAATTTTATAATATAATTTATGTGGTTTAAAAGTTTTACAAAAGCTTTATGTGTATCTTATGCATATTAAAGATAAGCATAGAATTTCAGTGAAAGCTTAAGTCTGCAGTAATTACCATTATTCATGTAACAAACTTTATGCAATATTAAATAATTACTCATAGATATTCGGTTCATTGTCATAAAATACTGATTTATTTATACTGATAAGGAATACTAAAAAAATTGTATGAAGAAAATTTAAGGATTTCTTATACTTTTAATCAAGTGTAGTTGTTTTATTATAATTAATATGTTGTAATAAATATACATATATAGATATGTTATTATTAATTGCAAATTTATGCTTTACTGAAATTTTAGACGCTGATCAAACATGTCATTCTAATTATAGAGTTTTGTACTAACCCAGTGTTCTTGTGCATCTAGCTGTTCTATGGTCAAACCAACAGAATCCTGAGCACCATAAAAATATCACAAGATAGCCACCAACAATGATATTACAACATAAATGATTTGAATTTTATTAACATGATTATTAATACCTAATTAGTACTAGGTATTAATGTATACATTTACCATCACCATATTGAGAATGTTGTGCATTCGATAACAAATCTATATTTCAATTGAAATGTTGAATAAATATATGGCTATGAAGATCTATTAAGAAAAGTTGTTTAAAACTTCCACATTCAATTCAATACACTAATTGTTGTTATTTATTTGATATCCTTAAATAATTAAGCAGAAAATTAAGGTAGAATGAAATAATATTAAATAAATCTATAGAATAGAGTATATTGTGTATGTGTAACACTAATAATTTCATTTATAATATTTTATACTTGAATAAGTAGATTGCAAATACCTTCTTTCACCACATGTACATGTAAAGTAAAAAGATATTGCAAGGCATAAAAATCAAAATGCACAAATGTTTAATCAATATTTGTTACAATTATAAAATAAATATAGATATTCAAGATTCTAAAATTAATCCATAAATTTTTTACAGAATAATTCATTTTATTCAAAATGTAAGCAATTTTGATTTTGAAAGAATAACAACATAAAATATACATTTGTATGTTTACACTCACCTGCAACAAAGCTGGCCCCATCACAGGAACCAAGAAACCATGATATAAAAATTCCAATAACTGTTTTTGTACTAAAGGATGTGCAACTTGTGCGACAGCATTACAGAAGTCCAAAGAATTCATAAGGTGCATTAGTGCTGATATATCATTAACATCATCTGGCGTTAATCGGTACCAATCATCTGTTTCAATATCCAATTTTCTAGGCAACAGTGAATATAATCCACTGAGACCTGTAGCTAGTACCTAATTAAAAATGAATGTTTCATTAGTACCTCAAAAATACAATATAGACAAACAGAAGATTCTTCTTTTACATAAATGTAATTTTTTCTAAAGATTACATACAGGACATATATTAGAATAATCAGCAATATATAGCCCAACTTCGTCATTTTTTTTGGAAAGAGACATACAAAGTAACATGGAATCACGTGCTTGCTGTCCAACTCCACCTTCTCGATGTACATATGGTATTAACAATGTAAAAATAATAAATCTAAAAGTGTAAACCATGACTTTAATAAGTATACAATAAACATGTATGTGATGTATAATATTAACTATTTAATAAATATTAATTTTGCATTAAAGCTACACATAATTGATTCAATAATACTACTAATTTTTCTTCTACTTCTAATGGCATAATATCATTTGCACAATCTTCAAGTAATCGCAGTAATGGTCTGGCAACTGGTTCATGGGCAAGAAGAGTACCACTATGTGATACCAAAAGTTCATATAGTTTTAATTGTTCCAAACGCACAGCATTATTAAATCTGTAATATTATATATTTTATAGAATATACTGAACAGAATATGACTTACATTGAATATTAGTAAAAGCTTATAATAATAAAATTTAAACACAAATGTTTATCATAGTTTTATATAAAACACTACTACCTTCCACTATGTATGTTCCAATCATAAAGTTTAACAAGAAGATTTTCACTTAGTAAGTATTCCAAACATGGAGAATGTGTTGCTGTTGTAGATTGACGGTAATTATTGTAAAAGTTAGAATCTCGTAATTCTAAAACTAAAAGTGTTACCATCTGATCTATATGATTAACAACTCCAAGAACATCATCTTGATTACGTATTCCCTTGGGTAACTAGATAAATGCAATAAGATGCTTAATTATAAAACTGTATAGTTTTGTATCTGTTTACTCTTAGAATTATTTACACAAACATTAAAAAAAATTAAAAGTGTGACTCTCAGAAATGTTCGAAAAACTTTCTAATTTTCACTGAAATCTTAAAAATTCGACTCACAGATGTACGTAAAATGATTTCGTAAGCTTGTTGCCAATGTTTACAAAAGCTGTCATAACATGCTGATGGATCGGCGTCTTTTGGTGGAGAGTCTCTTGAACGCTGCTTACTAAAACTAGTTCTTAGTGGGCTACTTCGTAACCAGCTCATTTTTTCGACTTATATTTTGTCTACTCTCACGTTCATCAGAAACCTGCCTTTACACATCCTTCCTCTTCCAAACTTTTCATATTATTAACTGTCATAAAAAGGGTATTCTTCTGCTTTTCTTGATTTCAACTAACCAAGTTTCCCTGTCAAAATTGTCCTACTTATTGCGATAATCGCCCACCTACGCGGCAAGGACACAATGATAATACAAATCGCATATTTATTAAACGACTTGCGCATTACGAATGCTTTAACTAACACGTGCGAGTATATATACTATGAGAAATACTTCGTACATTTGATAACCAACAACTAGTCACTCACATTATCATGTCTGCCCATTATGAAATCGCCATATTTATTCAACTAAAGGTTTAGAGATTAATTGTAGTCTTTTTTTATTCTTTGTATTTTTCCAGTTGCACTTGCGGTGCGTTCGTGATTATACTTTATAATGCAATGTACGTTGTTCATTTTGTATTTTAGATTCATTTCAGAAAGTGTAATTCCTTGAGCAAAAAAAACTTAAATGTTCATTTACTATTTTAAAGTTGTAATTACCATGTTTAAATTTCACAAAAAGATCATAAATTTATCTGATATATGTATATCATATAATAATTATACTATCAATAAATTACGTTCAAGATAAACTGATGTATCTTAAATTTAATTAAATATGGACTTACAGAAATCCTTAGGTACAGTAATAATCATACCTATATTATTTAATTTAATCCAAAAATAATATACATATACCTAAACATATACATTTTATATGATAATAAAGTGATACTATTAATACCCATGGTTTCTATTCTATACTAAAATAATATATGGTCAACATTTAGTTGTCATAAATTCTGAATGGTAATAATAATAAATAGATTAAATGCAAAACAATACGACTAAATGTATTAAATTATAAACAACGAGCATAAAACAATAAAAATAATAATATCTTATACAATAGAAACTTTAGCAGTACAATTTTAGTGTCGTTATATAATTGTGATATTTCAAATGATTTCGGTAAAATATATTTGATGTTATTGATGTTAACTTAGACATACTTTTTTAAGTAATTATTTCAATGCAAGTTGCTTTTAGTTTCTGTATTCGCTTTTCTTTTTAAAAAGAATATGCAATAACTAAATAGTTTAAACAATTTTATTGTAACGACATATGTATATGAAATGTTGCGTGGATTCTTGGGGAATTTGAGGGAATTGTCACTTGTGGAGCGCTAAAGCCCTCTGCGCGTGATCGTTTAGTAGTTTTAATGAATGACAAAATGTAATATTGAATATTTTACAAAACAATAAATAACTTGGTAAGAATAAGGGTAAACGAAATGTTTTAACTCTTTATTTTATTATAAAATAATACGTCTAGACTCTATAATAGGTAACATTTATTTGTAATAGTTAATAGGTAACATTTATTTATTTGTTTGTTTTATCTATTGATTTCATGTTTTATTTCCGTCATATAATTTTTATTTTTGGG